GAATTCATTGTCCTGCTGCAAGTTATCATCATCGATTATGAATGTACAGTCCTGACAACCATCCTCTGATATTTCCTTGCCACAATTTCCACACAGCTGAAATAAAATTTAATGAAGCAAACCAATTTTAAGTACATGATCAGTAATGTACGCATCATTTACATTACTTTAATTTTTATTTTGTAGAATATTAAAATAATTAATAATTAAAAATGAAGCAAGTGATAGTTTATAATCATGACTATGTTGATAAAAAAATTTGAAAAAAATTATGGTAGCTTCTTGCGACGGGTACTATAATATATCAAAATTTCAGCCAAATCAAAAATCCAAAAGTTTTGAGTGGCCCACTTGGCATGGAATGACCCATATGTAGAAAATAGCTATAATGTAAGAAAATAGCTATAAAATAAATCTTATTTGCAACTCTAGGTATAAAATAGATTTGCTCGTATGTCCAGCAGCTTACAATTAGTAGCATATGCATCGTTGATTGTACAGTGAATTGTTACCGTTAATTTTTGAAATGGAGATAACGTGCAAATGCGGTGCTTTATATCAATTTAAAATGGATACATGCAGTTGTGAAGCACATCAATATAAATTGGAAGTAACGTGCAAATGCGGTATTTCTTATCAATTTTTATCAAAGGTATTTATTTTATTATTAATAATTAATTGCATTTATCAATAATTTTTGTTTTTCATTCACCTTCCTATCTACTATTATTAGTTCATAAAAAAAACATTCTAATACCCGTGTAAATTTTAGTGTCAGGGACGTCCAGCTTCTAATAACGAAAAAACCGATAATAATTTACGAGTAGATTCTGGAGCTCAATTTCGAGCTTGTGGTCGAGGTCGTTTAATGGAACTTTTTCGAAGATCACAAGCTAATAATCAAAGAAATGCTGAAATATCACCAAAATCTGAAAATGATGAAATTTTCGAGGATTGAGGTAAGTAGTCGGAAAAAATTTTAAGTACCTTTATTTGTGCATGTAAGAAAAACAAAGAATATAATATATCAATCGTGTTACATAAATTTATTTTTATATCTACAGATTAACAATTGAGAATTTTGTGAGAAGGAAATAAAAATTTATCAGTACACGGAAAGAATTATATCTTAAAATTTACCCTGAAAATATCGTAATCGTGGGACAACATTATATTTCGAAGAATTTTTATGTAAATCTCTCACATTCATTAATAACACTACAATAAAATATAAAATAAGTATGATTAATTTTAATGAAGTGCATGGTAAAAATCTTTTTAAATTTATTGTATGTACCATAATTAAATCCTCTCCGTGTACACAAATCATTGTAATAATAAATCATTGTAAATATATACATTGTAACATTTACGGTTCATATTGATTACAAATATGATGATCATGAAAAAAATGTGTTATACAAAGAGATTTTTTGCACCATGCGCAAGTAATTACAGCTATTTCGCTACAAATATCGCATGTTGGTTTCGAATGTTTTTTAAAACAAAAATCGACTGGTGTGTCAAATTCAATTGGCCTATGTTCCAAATATCCACTTTTGTACCAAGCGTATTTAAACATATTAGTAAATCTTGGCGATGAAAACAGATTGTGCGTCAATGACTGTAATTTTAAAATAGCGTTTCTAGAATGAAGCTTTACATCAAGATCTAAAAGTATGACTACATCTGAAAAATGCTTAATGAAATTCTTCCACAAACGGAATCCAAAAACATCTAATGGTTGTATTTTTTCTGTTGTTCCAGCCGGTATAGTTAATAGAACAATATCTTGTGCAGAATCTGGTCTATTTCTTTGAATTATATCCGGACAATGACTAGTCCATGAATCTAACAATAAAACAGAATTTGGTCCAACATTTGGAAAATATACATCCCTTACCCAAGTTTCAAAATGATTAGATGTTAATTTACCAGATTTTGACGCCATAATAAAAATATTATTTGCATTAAACATCGTTTCTTGTACCCTAGGACCTAATGTCCCAGTAGGTTCTTTTAACACTATAAGAAGTGGAGATAATAATCTACCATCGGCTGAAATAACAGGTTGTATTGTATAGCTGTGCGTAATCGCAGATATTGACTGTGCTACGCTCTACTTTTTTTACACCTTTCTGTGCCAGTGTACGACCAGCATGTAATTCTAATTGAAAACCACTTTGGTCCGAATTAAACACATTTTCACTTCCATAACGATCAATATAATATTTGACATTTTCAATAAACCTATTACTACAAAATAATAATGATGTCAAATTACGGTATTAAAACAAGCAATGTAAAAATGACAAAATTTATTAAATATTCTATTAATTATAACGAGAAACGTTTCAACTTTACAAAGTCCTCTTCAGTCTCATTAGTAAAAACATATAATAATATAACTTTTTCGTCCCCGTAGTCTGATAAATCAATTAATCTTAGTCATCAAGTCCGCAAATAAAATTGTTTCTCGAGCCGAATACAAATACATCAGCATCACAATTCTGAATAAAATATTAGTATTATACAATCGAAAATAAAATAGATAACAATAAAATTATTAAACTTACGCCAGATTAGATGCTATGTATAATTTTCCGCTTTAAAATGTAACAATGTATATGAAGAATAGGTCTGTGCTAATCGACAGTCACAAGAATAAAGGAAAATAAAAACATCTCAGTTAGAAATGTCACTTACATACTGAGGGTAATGACCTAAACAACTGATCATATGCTCTGTCTAATTTTTCCGTATCTTTTTGTGCATTAATACCATTATTTTGTTCTTTAATAAATAACATCTCAGAAATTAATCTTTTATTGTAATGAGATTCAGTGTTCATAATACGTATATTATCCCAATCAAAGAATGTCCAAATTTGTTGCAATGTTCAGACAAAACTGTAACTCTTGTTGGATTTGCTCTAATATTATATTTATGTTCCTTTACTCTAGTGATCAATTTTTCGAGGACAAAAATTCAATACATTTGAAAACTCGAAAAATTTTTAACACAAAAAGAACGAACGGTGAAAAAATGCTTTACAAGTTTTTCTTTGACATTGCAACACTCCGGAAAAGCAATATTAATATTGTCCACTAAACATTTGATTAAACTAGAATCCCCATTCCTTAAAATGTATTTCTTGTACGCTGTGAAAAAGTATTCGCAATTAAAGATCAAAGAAAGTGTTTCTAAACAAGGTTCTTGATCCAGCCACCTCGGTTCGCTCCTTTATTGTAATACTTTGCTTTGTTGATAAAGTCCATGTCATGCAAATTTTTCGAGGACAAAAATTCAATACATTTCGAACAAATGTGCTTAACTTAATTTGTTACCTTTTTCGGATCCGCTGCTACAATTTATTGCAACGCAACAAGGCATCTTGAACTATATTTACATTCATAACAATAAGAGGCTCCATAAATAAATCAAAAATTAAAATAAATTGCCGTTGAGAGCCAACACAGGATGAAGGTGTGTAGTAAAATTTATTTACTTACATATAATTGCAAATTGCATACGTTTCGACCTTAATCCAGGTCCTTTTCATTGCATGAAAAATTCATAGTAAGTAGTGACAATGTAAATGTATCAAAAATTAAAATAAATTGCCGTTGAGAGCCAACACAGGATGAAGGTGTGTAGTAAAATTTATTTACATATAATTTAGTTACATATAATTGCAAATTGCATACGTTTCGACCTTAATCCAGGTCCTTTTCAATGCATGAAAAATTCATGCAATGAAAAGGACCTGGATTAAGGTCGAAACGTATGCAATTTGCAATTATATGTAAGTAAATAAATTTTACTACACACCTTCATCATGTGTTGGCTCTCAACGG